CAAAAGAAAAGGAACCCAAGTCCCCGAAGGCTCTCTGCCTAAAAGGAACTGCCGCATTAGGTACTGGGTGAGTGACACCTGTATACTTTTGTTATGTTAAGCCACTGGGGGACTTGGAAGTTTACTTGTTACGGCAGCTGGCATGACTTACTCTGACTAATGCGTTTTCTTAGTGACAACAGCAATGCCCTTCTTTCCAGATGTTTTCCTTCCTGCAGCAGCAGTAGCAGCTGTTCAGCTGCAGGATGGAGGCCACATGTGGAGGATGGCAGGGACAGCCTGCCAGCTCTCGACGACTGCACGTAGCAAGGCTGGGGCTGGATCTGCTGCAGGAGGTGACTTTTGGAGGAGAAAAGTGAAGCTTGATGAAACTGTTTTAGGAGAAAAACTGTAGGCAAAGAACAGAAATGTATGAAAAAAAAGAAGATTGAGAATGTTTTCCCATGTGGTCAACAACTTAACTCTCCTTCTCTTTTTTCCCAGGAATTTTCTCCTGGGAAAAATCTAGACTTCTCCTGAGGCAGATCTTTCCCCTACCATGTACCCCTCTCTCTCTTGCTAACCCAACCCCAGTTTTGTCCAAGTACCAGGTAACAATGTGCTCAGGGAAGATGGGCCTTCCCCCAAAAGGTGAATCCTGATCAGTCTACACCTTGCTCCCGCTTGCTAATTATTGGTTTAGGAGTTATCATTGTCATTTTGTGCCAATAAAACTTGAAGAAGTTTGAGAGCAAGGTTTGTTTTCTCTGAAAGAGAGAAACAGAAGAACCATACCCCTTTCATCCTGGCTTGAATTACTGTGTTGGGAAGTGATGTCTGGAGCTGTGGCAGCGACCTTGCAGCTATAAAGCAATGAGACTGAGACAGAAAATATGGAGGGTATCAGAGCAGAATGTGAACAAGAGTCTGCTGCTTTCATTACTGAACCAGTCGGGTTCGCCTTGCCTCTGGACCTTCTATTACGTGAGATATTTTTTAAAAGAAAACTTAATATGACTTTTTAAATTTTAATAGTTTTTTATTGTATTTTTCCCATTACCATTTATCACCCTTATACCCTCTCTCACCTCTCCCACAAGAAGAGAAAACATTATTTTTTTAAAGAAAATTTAATATGAGGAAAAAATTACAGCTAGGTCACCAGCTATGATTGTTTAAAGTTGCATGGATCAATCACTAAACTATAATGGAAAGCAGAGTTAAAAAAACAACCATCGATAGCAACAAGCACACTCAGAGCCCCAATTAGTTTCTAACAATATTGTCCAGTAAATGGAGCCAGGGATCCTTGGGAAAATGACCAATTTTAGGAATAGAGCAGAAAATATACTGGAAATATATCAGATGTGCCGGAAAAATAAGGAAGTATTAAAACATGCGCACGCACACACACATATGATGAGGGTATGACCTAGGGACACAGAGGTCAACTGAAAGAACACCCAACGGTCAAAGCTGGAACAATTTGAGCAACAAAATAAACAACGAGCATTGGATTATAACCCATAGCATAAAATACCCACAAGTCCACACTGACAAAAACAAAGTGATTGAGCTCTGGCCGGATGGCTCAGTGTGTTGAAGCATCAGCCAAAAGGTTGCAGGTTTGATCCCCCATTGGGGTGCGTACAGGATGCAATTGATCAATGTCTTTCTCTCATATCGACGTTTCTCTCTTTCCCTTCCTCTCTCTCTAAATCGATAAACATATCCTTGGATAACGATTAAAAAATAAAAATAAATAAACAGATTTTTATTTGAATAAATAACCTAATGGGGAAGAAAAGACAGATTTCCTGTGCAGATGATGTCCAGATAATTATCACCCTCCCAAGGAAAGGAAGCAAAACTCTCCACTTTGTAAGTGCGGGCTGTGCGGAGTGACTTTCTGACAGCGAGCAGTGTGGGGAGGGCGGGGAAAGAGTAACTTTACACGGAGGAAATCTGATAAATACGATGATCAAGGCGAACATCAAGGGTCATAAGTCAGACGGACAGTATGTACTCTTCATATCATGTCATGAGAAGGACACTTTACCCCTGCTCTGCCCCGAAAACCATAATCCCAGTCTAATCATGAAAAAGCATCAAACAAACACCACATGGGAGACATGGTGCAAAATACCTGACCAGGGCTCCTCAAAATTGTTAAGGTCATCAAAATAAAGTCTGAGAAATTGTCATAGTTCACAGGAGACTAAGGCGACATGATAACGAAATGTAATGCGATATCCTGGATGTGACCGTGAAACATAAAAACAACGTTAGACAAAAACTAAAGGACGGATGTCAGTCAATAATATTGTATCACTATTGGTTCATTAGTTGTAACAAATGTACCATATTAATGTAAAAATTTGATAATAGAGGAAACTGGGTGTGGGGTATGTGGAAACTCTCTGTTCTATGTTTGCCACTTTTCTGTGATCTAAATCTACTCTAAATGCAAAGTTGCTCTTTACTATGGAGGAAAAATGGAATACTGAAAAACACACAACTCAAAAGAAGGCGTCACTTGAACAAAGACTTGAAGCTAAAGAGAGAGAGAGAGCATTTGAAGAAGAGGAAGTAAGACTAAGGCCCTGAGGCAGGAGCCAGCCGTAGGTGTTTAAGGAACAGCAAAGAGGCCAGTGTAGCTGGAACAGAGAGAGCAAGGGGGAGAGCGAGCGTTGAGGAGGTAAGGTGAGAGAAATAACAGGGTCATCAGATGGTGGTGTCCAGCAACAGATAATACTGTTGGCAATGGTGTTTGCCCAGCTGATAGATATGAAATGGTATGTTGTTGTCATTTTAATTTGAACTTCCCTGATTTTAATGGGGTTGAACATTAGTTTATCGATCATTCCTGAAGCTCAGAAAATTGGAAGTCACTGCCAAGACTTTTGCCTGGCTGTAGCGTGGGACAACCCAAGGCCTAAAAGCCCAGGAATTCCCCTGGAAGGTCACTACGATCATTTCCCAACCTTGGAAAGAAGGTTCTTTGAGACTACAGTCACAACATTTAGCAATCAGAAATACAGAACTCAGCCCTGGCCAGTGTGGCTCAGTTGGTTGGAGCATCATCCTGTACAACAAAAGCTTGCTGGTTGATCCTCAGTCAGGGCACATACTTAGGTTGTGGGTTTGGTCCCCAGTTGGGGCACATACAGGTGGCAACCAATCTATGTTTCTCTGACATCCAATGTTTCTCTTTCCTGCTAAAATCAATAAACACATCTTCTGGTGAGGATTAAAAAAAAAAAATAGTGTGGAGTTTTCAGTCAAATTGCTTGGATTGAGTTCAAACCCTGATTCTACTTCCTACTATGTGACCAACCTACTTCACTTTCCTGTTCTTGGTCAAGCCTTCCTGGTCTTACCTAATTTCAGTGGCAATAAAACAGTTTCGTCGGGCGGCAAATGGAAGTAACAAGCTCATTGGGAGGTTGTGAGAATTAAATGAACTAATAATGTACACAGTGCTTGGAACAGAATAAGTGCTCAAAGGCAGTCGTAGCAGTAGACGACCTATGTATTATTTCATAGCACTAAATAATTCAGAAGATGTGCCTGGTGACAGAGACTCAACTCAAACTAGCTCGGGAATAACAGAGAAATTTTAATGGCTCATGGAATCAAAATTCTGGCATGATGGAGTGCAGCTGTCCTCCAGAGGAGAGGAACCAGGGACGTGAATTCCAGTAGGGCTTTCTCACTCCATCTCTTTGCTTCTCCCCTGGCGTCAGTTTTGTTTTCTCCTCCGGGAGTGGGAAAATGGCCAGAGATCTCTGGACCTGTTCCCCCGCAGCCTCACCACCCAAAAGGAAAGGTTTCTTGCCCCCAAAATACAGATCCAAAAACCGAGGGAAAGGCTCTCATTGGCCCAGCCTACACTGTGGTGGGGCATGATGATTGGCCCAGCTTGACTCCCTGCCCATCTTTCAGCCAATCACGTTGAAGAGAAGAGGGACAAGGAAATGAATGGCAACTCCCATTCTAAACAAGAGGGTGGAGTACGTTTCTGAGTTCCAGTAAACAAATTGTCTTGGCTAACCTTGCCGTTAATTATTTTTCCTCTTGTTGCTGGAAAACTTGGAACAAGGAACGCAAGAGTCAGGCGGTCTAGGAAATGACAGGAGAACGGTTGCAAGGTGTGGTATCCACAGCCCAACTAAGCAGGAGCCCCTGCATACAGCAGGCGGCCAATTCATGCTTATTGAATGAATGGCCTGTCCCCAAAGGCTGATCTGGGACGGCCCCAATTTCATAGGTTCCTGAGCCGATCAGAAGCGAAGTGGGAGAAGGGGTCCCTCACACCCGTGTAGTGCATCTCAGGGCGCAGACACCTGCTTGGGGGTTGGGATTGGGAGTTAGGGGAGGGGGAATGGAACCTTGAGACGACAGACAAAACCTTGAAGACCCCGCCACCTCCTAAGGCCCAGCTGGGGGCGGGGCTTCTAGGCCACAGCACTTTGGATTGCACCATCTTCCACTCGTTAGGAGGGAGATCCGACAAAGTCTTTCTCCACCTTCTGCCAGTTCCTTACCAATTTATGGCCACGAATACCATGTATTTACTTCTCTAGCAGCCACACTGTTTTCCCCTTAACCTCTTTCTGCCTCACCGCTCCACGCAGCCACACATTTCAGGCTTCCCCCTCCGCCACCAGGCAGTGGCTCTTCCCAGTTTGACGCATTGCAGGCAAGGTCGGACCAATCGGAGCCGCGCTCTCATTTCCGCCATGGCCCAGGCCCAATAGCGGCGCGGCTCACACAGGGACGCTTCACGCGCGACCGAAAGTGTCCCTCCGCCGAGGAGGAAAGTGGTGTGGACAGAGGAGGCGGGGCGAGAGGCAATGGAAGGTAGTCCCTCTGCCGGTTCGCGCGCAAGCGCGCGGCCGGCGGCAAACCCCAGCTCAGCACAGGTGGGAGCGGGAGATTCGCGGACCCAGCAGCGCGGAGGGATCCGCCAGAGTCGCAGTGCGGCGGCACGTGGGCCGGGCGGGGTGGGGCGGGGCCGAGCGAGGCGGGGCGCGCGCGGCGTCCGTTGAGGGACCGTTGGGGCGGGTGGCGGTGGCGGCGGCGCGCGCTGCGGGCAGAGTGTGGAGGCGCGGACGCGCGGCGGAGCTCGAGCTGCTGCAGCTGCTGCCGCCGCCGGAGGAACCTTGATCCCCGCGCTCCGGACACCCGGGCTTCGCCATGGTGAGTGAGGCTGTGGGGCCGTGGAGGCTGGGGGCGCTGAGGCGAGCACGGCGGGGCAGGACCCCTGAGAGGGAGAGTGGACCCAGAATGCCGGGGGGGGGGGGGCGTCCGGGCCCCAGCAGACGCCTCTGGACCCCTCGCTGCCTCCCAGTCGGGGGCATCGGAATCCAGAGCGGGACGTTTGGGTCCTGAAAGGGCGATTGGGGACTTCCAAACGCTACTTTAAACACCAAATGGGTTGTTTAGACCCCAAAATGGGCATCGGAGCCCTCTACGGGAGCATTTGAACCTAGGATGGAACATCTGGACCCTCAGGGGGCGTTTAGGCCCCCCTCCAGGCGTTTTGAACCCAAGATAGGGCGTTTGGTCTGTGAGATGGGGTGCTTGGACCCCAGCGGGGCGAGATAAGAAACACTAGCAGGGATGGGGCTTATTTGGGCCCTGATGAAGGCTTTGAGTCCTGAGAGGATGCAGGGAAGGGGCATCAGGGGCAGGCTGGGCTCCTGGGGAGCGCCCCCAGAAGGCGCCGTGGGGAGCTGGGCCTGGGTAGTGATGGGGGTGACTTCTGCACATCAGACCTGGAGAGTGGGGGGCGGGGGTCTCCGAAGACCAGCATTGCAGAGGATGGAGGAGGAGGGTAACGCTTCGGGGAGGAAGGGCCTGGGGTGGGTGGCAGCGAAGGTTAGAAGATGCTCTTGAAGCCTGCGGGGACTGAAAAGGATTGGGGTTAGCGAGGTGGTTGAAAGGGGATGATGGCAAGACTGGCGCTTGCCAGTGGTGGGGGTAACTGGGGGCCTCATGATTGGTTTGAGAGCAACCAGAAAAGGGTCTGAGGTTACCAGTAGGTTGAGGCTGTTGATCCGGGAAGGGGAGTTGGGTTTAGGGGGAGTCAGAGAAGAGTGCTGTGTTTTGAGTCCATGAGAAGGTGGCTTTCCAAGGTGAGGGGTGGAAGAGGACAGGGGCTTGGGTGGCAGAGGGTGAGATGGAAGGAAGCCTGGGGCGGGGAAGAGGAAACGAATGGCGGCCAGGGTGGGTCTAGGTTTGGAGGTAGCTGTGGGTAGTTCCCTGGAAGTCTCCAGGGAAAGCTGGGACAAAGACTATTCAGTCTGGGTGGGGAGTGGGCTGCAGAGGCTGCAGGGAGGCCCTCTTCCCCAGGAAGAACAGGTTGGGCAGAAGGCCCCCCGGGCAGTGGGAGCAGGTGGGCGGAGTTGTTCAGGCCCCTATTGCGCACTGAAGCTGCATGAAATGGGGGTGGGGGTCAAAGTTGAGGATGCATCAAATGAGCCAGGTTTTTAAGCCTTCAGCCTCACCCCTGCGCTGCCCCTTTCAGACCAGGAGAGCGGCTTTTTCCAAGCTGGAGTGCTGGTTTTCTCATGATCTCCAGCTCCACGCACTGTTCCCCACTGCCTTGCTTGTGCCAGATGACAGTGCAATACAGTGTGGCGTCAGTGACAATCAGACTCCTGTTCCTGTAGCCCCTGGGTGGGGGCTGTGGCGCTTGACCAGGGACGACCCCGTCATCAGCCTCAGGGCCACTTGCTCCGTTCAGGGCCCTAACCGAGTACTTCTGTTAATTCACACAGCTGGACTTTGAGAGAAAACCAGCAGCCTGGTTTTCTTACCTACTCCCTGCCACCCACAACACCCCCAGCCCTGCCAGGCTCAGCCTCGGAACCATGCGCAGCCTCCTCCCTGGCGAGGCCGGGCAGAGCAGGCAGCCGCCGCTGTGTGTCTGCTGTGTGTCGAGTCTCATTCTTGCTGACACAGACTTGATGGCTCCTCTCACCGCTCTCTCGCTCTCCCCCGTAGAACCTTGCTGAAGGGGCGCCAAAGCGCTGGCAGGTGCCAAGTGGCCCCCTACCTCCTAAATAGGACTGGGGCTCTGGCCCCAGCTAGCTTCTCTTTCCATTTGTAATCAGCAAGGTATGGGTGGGACAAGTCACTGTTAACTGGCCTTGGATGGACTTTGGCCTGAGAGCTGTGGCTCCTCCTCGGCCGGGTGAGGGGCCCTGGCCTTGGTTTCTGATCTCATCTGACACTGCTCTCTGGCATTGGCTGGGGGCTGGGCAAAGCAGAGAAGTAATACCCTCTTTCCCTCTGACCCCACCCCACGATTTTTTCCTTGTTCAGCCTCATGCTGGGGCCCGAGATGAGGAATTAGGAAGCAGGAGGCCAGCTGGATTATTTTGGAGACAATTTTTGGTAAAAGCCTAAAATCTTCAGTTCTGGAAAGGGAAGAAGCCCTGGGAAGAGGCCGTTCCCCACCCCCCACCCCCCTCCACAGCAATGATGGCTTCTCAGGTGATCAGTTTTCTGGGTAGCAGCCATGCTTTCAGATCTGTAGCTTAGAGCCAAGACCTTCCCTTCACCCAACACGGGAGAGGGTGTCCTGCCCTGAAGGGAGAGTGCCTGACAGGACCCCCCCAGGCACAGCCACACCTATTTGCCGGGACCTTCCAGCTCATCGGTGGCGGGCCGTGGCCTTCAGAGCCACCCTTGGGCATTCTACTCCGTGCCCCCAGCTGCGACCCCAGCCCCTGCTGGCACTTCCCAGAGGCTGGGGGAGAACTGGGTGTCCTGCAGAGCGGTGCAGTGGGGGTGGGAAGGTCCCTGGTTGGGCTGGCTTTTCCATCTAGGCCAGGAGCGAGGATGGGAAGCAGGTGGCGGCCCTCCTCCCTAGACTGCTGTTCTCCTCTCTCATCTTCCTCGTCCCCCTCCCCTGGCATTGCCTGGCCGTGGTAACCAGAGCCCATCCTCTCGTCTCACTTTCCATGAGCAGCTTCCTTGGGTGGCAGGATCTAAGGGATCGGCCCGGGCTTTGCCCATGGGAGCCAGAGAAAGAGGGTGGAACAAGGGGCCTGTGGGCCTGCGGCTGCCAGGTGGGCAGTTAGGAGTCCCGCAGCCCCGAGTCTTTTGTAAGGCAATGCAGGAGTATCTCCATTTGGCCTCTGAACCTTCCCTTTAGACTTTGGACTTTTCTAGAATGTGCATATGAGGTGCTTTTCCTTCTCCCCCCGCCTCGCTTAGCCATCTCTCCTCTGTCACCTTCCCTTTGATTTCCCTTCCCATTCTATCTGTTTGGGGCTTGGCCTCAAATTCCTCTTCCCTTAGATTTTTAAAAGAAAGACATTTTAGATGAGTACTAATGTGATCACTTCTTAATATTTGGGATGGGGTGGGCGTTTGCGGGGTAGTTGCTAGCTTCCATGGAAGCTCTGGAATCTCTTTGTAAAATAATGCAAATGCAATAGTTTGTATTGGTTTGGGGGACTCTCAGACAAAAACTAGCACCCTGCTGTAGACTTGGAGCTGCCTTCCCCTGATGGCGAAAGGAAGTTGAGGAGGGGGAGCACTCAGTCTGGACCCACAGTGGTCCAGGGAGTGTGGTGCCTTCTTGGCAACAATCGCAGAAACCAAGGAAAATTTACCTTTTTTTGCTGCCTAAAGCTAAACATGGGGCTCAGTCCCCAACCTGAGCCCTCCCAGGGAGCATCCCTGTACCTGGCTGACTCCCAGCGCACCAGCGCAAGGAAAAAGCTAGTCCTGGCCTCTCCTCTACCCCACCCCCAAACCCCGCATGCAGCAAGGGCTGCCTGCCACTGGCTGGTGGCCAGTCCCCAGAGCAGCCAGGGCTAGAAAGGGTTAAAAACTGCAGCGCGCTGGGGAAGCTGACTTTAGTCCCACAGCCTATACCACCACTGCTACTGCCCTCTGCAGTCCCCTCCCGACATTTGCCCCTCCTGCCCAAAGGAAACAGAACAGAGTGGTGCCCTGCGCCATCCTTGTGCTCAGGGGAGTGGAGCGGCTGCCTTCCGCCTGACCAGGGTCCTCTTGGGCGCTTGGAGGGGCTCAGAGCCACCAGTGAGGACCGTTTTTTGCCAGTTGGGTGCACTGTGCTTGGACTTAGCACCTCCAAAGAGCTGGCACAGAAACTAGCAGGGAGCCCCAGACGCCGTCCCTCAGCCCCACCCAAAGACTGGCCTGTTTCAGTTTGGAGCCTTCCAGAGCTGCTTGATTAGGCCTCTAGGGCAACTGCTCCCTTCACTCAGCCTCCGGGGCTCCCTGCGGCGGCGTTGACACTGAGACGCTGGCCTGCGCTGTGCCAGTGCAGCTGGTTTGGGGCTGGGACGGCGCTCCTCGCGCCCGCTGGGTCGAGATCCGAAATACTGGGATCCGGCAGCTTCGGCAGGCCCTGGGTCAGACCGGCCTGGGTGTCCTGCCCCGCCGTGTCCCCAGCTTCCTGAATCAGCAGACTTGACCGCGGGTCCTGGCTCTGCCATGCACCTCCCTTGCCCGCGTACGTGGAATGCTGTGTGGAGCTGGGCTCAGCGAGAAAGAGGTAGCCGTGACGGCCCCCCGCCTGGGGACTGACTTTCTCCCTCCTGCTTTTCCAGGCCGACCAGCTGACCGAGGAGCAGATCGCAGGTGAGCTCGCCTGCCCCGCTCCCCGCCTCCTGCCGCAGGAGGCCCTCCCCAGCCGAACCTTGCTCCGGCCAGGAGTAACATCTGACAGTTAGGCTCGCGTGTCCCCTGTGTCACCTAGTGCTGTGCCTTGTGTTTAGGAGGTTGATGACTGGTGTGGAAGGACACACGGTGCCCCAGTAACACCGAACCCCATGGTCCAGAGACAGGCACTAACCAGACAACAAGAGCCACGTTCCATTCCTGGCCACCAGTCATCCCGGGGCCTTTTAATCAATGGCTGCAGGGTGAGCCTGGCTGCCTGCCCCCGCCCCTGCCAGCAAGGCTCAGCAGCAAGCTCCCTGCCTCCCTGTCCCACTTTAGGAGCCGCCCATGAGCTGGCCTGTCCCTCCTACCTCTGCACTTCCCCGCACTTAGCAATCCCCTTGGCACGTGCTTGCGCTCACCAGAAATGCGTCCCCCAGTTCTCTGCACGGGCAGCAACTTCTCCTCCTTGGTCTCAGTTCCCATGTCACCCTGGAGAGACCTTCCCTTGCTCCCTCTCAAACAGACTTTTCTTTATTCTCTGTCATGTCCCTCTGTTTAGTGCCTTCGTGGCTATTCTCACTGCCTGACAGGATTTTATGACGTCCTTACCTGTGTGCCTCCCGCCACTAATGTGCATGCCGGGAGCCAGGGCTTGGTTTTTGTCGGTCCCTGCTGTACTTTCAGTGCCTGGAACCTAGAGGCCAGTAGGTGCCCTGTAAGTTTGTATAGGCTATGTAAATAAACAAAGGAACCCTCCTATGCCTCCCAGGAAACCAGAAGAAACCTCTGATCCCATCTAACTCATTTTTGTAGTGTGTCCAGAAAGGTCACAGCTGCAGGAACTGTTATGGGGTGACTGAGTGGATTTCCAGGTCCCCCTCTACCCGGACTGAGGTGTCTAAGGACAGAGACCAGCCCTCGGTCGTCTCCACAGCCCTGGGCCAGCACAAAGTAGGCAGGAGTGGAGGTGCAGAGCGTGGGCCCTCGGGCCACGGCCGCCACCGCGAGGCAGCCCTGCTCTCCTCTTCCCTGGGCTGCGTGACTAGTACTGATGCCCCGTGGGTGGCGGTGGGAGTGGACTTGCCTCCTCTCCTTCCCACTGACCCCCAGCACAGAGAGTCATGCTTTCAGCTCCTAAACTTTGACCCCAGGTGGCTGTGGAAACCCACTGAGGCAAGCCAGGGAACTACCTTCTTGCTTAGTGATTGTGAGTTCAGGGTGTGCACGTGACCCCCCGCCCCCAGAACAACAAGGGAGGTGCCGGCGTCCCCAAGGAGACGCTTACCAGCTCCCACTGCCCCTGCCACCCACACCCCAGCTCTCTGACCTCGAGTAACACAAACAGCCCACTCCCCACCCTGTTCCCATTAGCAAACTGTCCCCCACCGCACCCCAGCCCACACCCTCTGGGAATAGGCGGCCGGGCATCTGCTCTCTGAGGGCTTGGGGGTAGAGAGCTCCGGGTGCCAAAATGGGCCCAGTGGGAGGGCAGGCGCCACGTGCTCCTCTCTCACTCCTGACACGTCCCCAGCTGTGGCCCTCCCACTCAGTGCCACCAGCTCCTCATCCTCCTGGCTTGGCAGCCGTCCCCTCTCCTTCCATCCCCCCACCCACCCCACGCACCGTCCGTCAGCCGAGCTCTGCTGCTGGCCACCCCCGTACTCCACACGGCCGCTCGCTCCTCTGGAGCTGGTAGCATCGGCCCCGGGGGACGGGGCTGGCGGCACCACTCAGGAGGGACACGGTGCCAACCAAGGGCGTTCTGCAGCCTCCCCTCCCCCCTCCCCGCGCCCCCAGCCAGTTCACCTTGGCTGGCAAACTTTAGATGGAGACTTCTCTTGGCTCTCAGCCACTCCATGACACTAGTCCGTTTCATCATTTGGGGGAGAGGCCGAATCCAGGGGCCAAAAAGAAATGTAGAATCATCTAAGAACAGTGTTAGCTCATTTTTCCCTCTGTCCTCACTGAGGTAGGTTGGCACAACTGGTTGCTTTACCTGGCCCGGCAGAGGTGCTCGGTAAATGTTACTGAAGGAGGGAAGGGGCCGCCCTGAGCACCGAGGCGAGGGGCTTGGCCCGGGCCTGAGGTCTAGTTCCGGCGTCTTGGTGTGGCCCTGACCCCGCCTCCCTCCAGGCCCGGAGTCGGCGTCCCGGGGTCAGGGGTCCCCACGGTCCTCGACCTCTGACTCGTTCCCTTTCTTCCGCCAGAGTTCAAGGAGGCCTTCTCCCTTTTTGACAAGGACGGAGATGGCACTATCACCACCAAGGAACTGGGCACAGTGATGAGGTCCCTGGGACAGAACCCCACCGAGGCAGAGCTGCAGGACATGATCAACGAGGTGGATGCAGATGGTGAGCCCCACTCCTGGTCACCCCGGAGCGCAGGGAGCCTCCCTCGGGGCGATGGAGGTCGCCTCCCAGGGCCCGGGCCAAGGGTGTTCCCAGCTCCCTTCCAACTTTCCAGGGAACGGGACCATCGACTTCCCGGAGTTCTTGACCATGATGGCCAGAAAGATGAAGGATACCGACAGCGAGGAGGAGATCCGAGAGGCCTTCCGTGTCTTTGACAAGGTAAGCAGTCCTCCCAGAGTGGCTCCGGGACTCGGGCTGAGGGACAGCGGGTGGGCTCCAGGGGGCACAGAGTGAGGACCCCAGGAAGCCTGGGTCCTGGGCCAGCCCCCCTGCCAACTCACACAGCAGCTCCAGGGAGCCCCTTCCTCTGGCCAGTGAGGGTGAGAGACAGTCCCGCCGTTGCTGCCCTCCCCGCTGCCCCCCCACACCCCGCAACCAGGCAAGAGCAGGGGACAGCCTCGAGCTCAAAGCCTTTACCTGCCCCTGCACACCAGGATGGCAATGGCTACATCAGCGCGGCGGAGCTGCGTCACGTAATGACGAACCTGGGTGAGAAGCTGACCGACGAGGAAGTAGATGAGATGATACGAGAGGCTGACATCGATGGAGATGGCCAGGTCAACTATGAAGGTGCGCTGGCCCTGGTCCCCTGCCTCCGGGGCGAGGCCCCGGGTCCTTTGTGTCGGGGAGGGCTGCCCGCGGCCCAGCCCCACTCCCCGGCTGACCTCTGCCTCCCCGCTTCCCTTCCAGAGTTTGTACAGATGATGACCGCAAAGTGAAGGCCCGGGCAGCTGGCGATGCCCGTTCTCTTGGTCTCTCTCTTCTCGCGCGCGCACTCTCTTCAACACTCCCCTGCGTTCCGGTTCTAGCAAACACCAATCGGTTGACTGAGAATCTGATAAAGCCACAAAAGATTTGTCCCAAGCTGCATGACTGCTCTTCCTCCTTCCTCCCAGTCTCCTCCCACGCCCCTCATCTCTCCCTTTGCCTTCCCCCCTCCATTGACCTCTGCCGGGGCCTGACGCTTGTATAAGATGAGGCCCCTCCCCCTGGGGGAGCCTCTGCCCTCCTCCTCCGGCCCGGGTGGCTCTCATCTCTTTCGGTTTGTTTCCTTCCGTTTGTCATCTTCTTTTGGGTGCTGGGGTGGCTGCCAGCCCTGTCCAGGGACCTGCTTGGGAGGGGACAAGGTCCTCACCCAGGCGGAAGAGCACGCCTTTGTCTTTGCATGCAACCAGCCCTGTGATTCTGTGTGCAAATCCCAGCAGCCTTTGGGGCAGAGGTGCCGAGAAAGGTGTTCCAGAAGGACTGAGGGGCTGAGGCGTTGGCTGGATGTGGCCCTAGAGGGGGTTGAGGCGCAAGGGAGTCTTGGAGGCTGGCGTTCTTTTACTTGAGGGGCCAACTCATAGAAGGGGACAGACCAAGTGGACAGCTCTCAGACCCCACTGGCTGCTGTTCTGAAACCACCTGATTGGCTTCCTGACATTGGGCTGGTGGGGGCTGCTCAGCTGGCCACTCTGCAAACCGTACCTGCCCTTGTCCCTAAAGCAATCTCAAGCTGTTCTGTAAATACTTGGTGCTAACATCCCATGCCACTCCCTCATGACACCCGCCCACCCACATTGAGGTCCCCTCGTGGGAACTGGTGTGGGGATGGTCGCTTTGTAATGTGCTGGTTATCCTGTTGTTTTAGTTTCTGCCCCTGGAAACTTTTTTAAGTCTTGTCAAAAACCATGCCAGGCTAGCTGAAGGGTGGAGAGAGAGAAGATGCGCCCCCCCCCCCCGCCCCCTCGAGAGAAAATACCTGCAATAAACAACCCTGTGGCTAGCGGCTAGCTGCCCGGAGGACCGGCGGCCGAGGGCAGCTCTGCGTCCTGGCCCGCCGGCCCCTCCCGCTTCTCCGTGGTGACTTGGCAGGCTCCCTCCCATCTGCGCTGTCTCTGTGCCCTCCTCTGCCCCGCCGCCCCTCGCCCCCCTGCCTGCCCCCACACTCCCCCAGCGGAGAGCATGATCCGTGACCTCGCTTCTGACTTTCGCCTCTGGGACAAGTAAGTCAATGTGGGCAGTTTGGTCGTCTGGGTTTTTTTTTTTCCTTTTCCCTTTTTCTGTTCATTTCATCTGCCCCCACCCCCCACCCCCAGGTCGATCAAGTGGCTTTTCCTGGGACCTGCCCAGCTTTGAGAATCTCTTCTCGCCCACCCTCTGGCACCCACCTCCAGGGGAAGGGAGGGGAGGGGAGGGACAGAGCATAGTGGGAGACCCAGCCAAGAGCTGAGGGTAAGGGCAGGTAGGCGTGAAGCTGTGGACATTTTCGGAGTGTTTTGGTTTTGGTTTTGTTTGGTTCTTTTTTTTTTAAACCGGGCAATATTGTGTTCAGTTCAAGCTGTGAAGAAAAATATATATCAATGTTTTCCAATAAAATACAGTGACTACCTGATCGGCTCTGGCCCTCGTCTTGGTTTCGGGCCAGGGACCCCACAGCCCTGACTTGGACGAGCCTTCACTCCACGCTCGCTCAGAAGACTCGGCCCTGTCACTGTGGCCGAGTGGGGAGCCTGCGAGCCGGAGCTCGCATCCCAGCCAAGGTCGCACAGCCGTTGATGGCCGATCGGCTCTGAGTGCTCACCACGGGCCCGCGCGGGGGTGCACATGTGTGCCAGAGACCAGCCTCCCCTCGGGGGTGGGGGACATCAGTCAGACTGCAAGAGAAGAGCCGAGAAGGCAGTGCCCAACCCGGGGGGTGGGGGAATCTCAACAGGGTGCTCTGGGGAAGGGGTGGCATTCACCGAATGGGTCAACATCGGTCAGGCAGCCTAAGTGTACGTGGTCCAGAGCTCTTGGGGAGAGGGCACAGGACTTTGGGAGATGAGAAACAACGCCGAGAGCAGCTACAGACTACAGAAAGCTCTTTCCCCGAGGTCGCGGGGTGTGAAGAAAGGCCTGCGAGCCAGCCATGCTTTAGGGGACGGATGTGACAAACCTCGGGGGTCTTTCCCCAAAATATGTGCCCTGCCCCCAGCTACAATTGCCATCCGCTCCCTATTCCGGGAGCAGGGAATGAACTCTCTGACTTCTGAGCAGCTTGCACTTGACCGCAGGGGCCAGGCAAGAGTCAAAGCAGAGGCGGTTCAATGGAGAGACCTCCTGTTCGTCTTCCCCTGGCCTTGGAAGGACGGAGGAACCTGGCAGGGCCCAGCATCACGGGCTGCCTTTGGGCCAGAGACTGCCCTGGCCTGGATCTTCCTGCTCGGGGCCAGTCGCCTGAGCCGCAGCTTCTTTGCCCCTCTTTTTTTCTTTTAAGGCTTTATTTTTAGAGAGGGGAAAGGAGAAAGAAAGAAGGAGAGAAACAGATGTGCAAGAGACATATCAGTTGCTTCTCTCAAGTCCCCAACTGGGGACCTGGTCCACACCCAGGCATGTGCCCTGACTAGGAATCAAAGCAGCAGCCTTTTGGTCCACAGGCCAGGGCGCAATCCACTACACCAGCGCTACACCAGCCAGATTTGCCCACTTTTCTGCCATCTAGTTGTGGATTGGCACTTGGCACAATGAGACAGCCTAAATGGATGAGAGCTCAGGGTATGAGCCAACCATTGGCTCCGGCACTTAGGCACCTCCGTGGTCTCAGGCAGGTGACTTGTTCCCAGGACCCAGTGTCCCATCTATATGTACATGGGGGTATGAGGCCCTGGCCGGTGGCTTGTTTGGAGTGTCATCCCGTACACCAAAAGGTTGTGGGTTCAGTGTCCGGTCAGGGCACGCATGGAAGGCAACCAATTGATGTTTCTCATGCCAAAGTTTTGCTACAATCACTAAATAGCCTCTGAAGAGGATTTTAAGGGGTCCAAGAGCACCTGCGTCCTCGTGTTGAGCCAAGGAATTGAGGAGCCCACAGGAACAGGCTGGGGTGCCGTGAGTGCCCGGCCAGCACTCTCTGGTCCTTGCGCGGCGCTTTCTGCGTCCCAGGTTCTCTTCCAGGCTCTGCCGCACTGATCTCATTGAATCCGCCAGGCAGTTGTTTTGGGCTGGAAGCCACTAGGCCCCATTCTGCAGCTTAGGAAACAGCCCCAGAGAAGTGAAGAGTCCATACCAAGGTTATTAAGTCAAAAGGGGCAGGGTTGGCCTTTGAACCAGATCTGACCCCAAGGAGTTCGTGCTCAGCTGCCTGGTTTTAGAATAAATGGCCATTTTGAAACCAAGATGACTTCAGAGGGACCAGAGATCGAACCAGCGGGAAGGCCAGGGGACACCGTGCTGGGGCCTGAGATGGGAGCTGCCCTCTGAACAGCCAGGAGCCCTGTGGAAGTCTGGCCTCCAGGCTGAGACAGGCTTTGGTCACCCGCAGAAGTGGGCTCCGGGCCTCAGGGGCCACCTCCTACCGCACAGTCTGGGAGCAGTGACTTCATTTCTCTGTGCCTCAGTTTACCAGTCTGCAAAATGAAGAATAATGATCTATAAAAGGAGAATCATAAAACAAAATACCCACCTAAGAGGGTTGTGCCAAATGCCCTGCTTTTAGGCATCTCATTTAATCCTCACACAGGCTGGGGGAGAGTCCCCTGTGTGCGGTGGGCGTGGAGGCGTGAGGTAAGCTGCCACGACCTGGGGGCGGGGAAGGAAGGCCCGGGCAGGCAGAGCCTCTTGCGCTACACTTCTGGGAAGTGGCTCAGCTGGGTCTCAAAGCCCAGGTGATTTGGGTTCCAATGTCCACACGTTTCTGCTGCCAGTCGTTTTCCCCCTGGGGTCCTGGGTTTTGAAAGACCTACTCCCAGACAGACTATATTGCTCAACGATCATGACTGCCCTCTCCCTTCATTAATCAAAGACACGTAAACAGCACTCTGGGCTTCTGTTGGGCACAGGGCGGGCACTGAGGGGCACCGGCTCTGTCCCAAAGCAGACGAAGCCCCAGGTGTCATTTCCAGTTCAGGCCCACAGAACTGCGGGACCAACCCAAAGCCTGTCCTGACAAGGTGGCCAGACAGGGGACACACCAGGAGGCGCCTAACCAGTGCCCAAGCAAGCAAAACCCAAGTTTCCCAAATGTCCCAGAGGGTAGGGGCCCCAATCTAGAGCGGTGGCCCTGAGGTCACTTCTAAGTGCCATTCCCAGTGTGACCAGGAGGTGGGGCAGTGGCTACAGAAGTTGTTCCCGGAGTGACCAGCTGGGGGGTGGGGGGGGGGGTGTCTGTGAAGTCCCGCGGGTGGGTCAGGCCCAGAGCTAGGAGGACCAAGATGCATCGAGCCTGCCTGAGGGAGACAGATGCACGCCTCGTGCGTCACGTGCTGACCCCACAGCCCGGCGCAGCTGGTGCCTCGCTTGTGTTCTCACGGATCCTTGCGCTGTGCGCTCTCACTACCCGTCGCGGTTTGTGATTTCGTATTTTTGCTGCTTATTGTAATACACATTTTTGTGATGATTAAGTGGTCACCTCACTGCATCCTGAGCGAGGGAGGGCCAGGGTGGTGTCGGTCACTGCTCCATCCGAGCGGGCACACAGCAGCCTCAGGCCCAGAGCGGGCTCGAGGGAGCCTATGTTGAGTGAGTGAGTAAGAGGCTAAAGAAGGGACACACCAGAGGCCGGAGGCAGAGCTGTGACCGCGACAGAAACCGTCCTCTTGGCTCACTTTCCTCCAGTCCTCAGGTCCCAGCTCAGCCATCCCCTCCTCCCAGAAGCCCTCGCTGATGTCCCCCAAGGTATCCCCTCCCCTCCTCCAGCCCTGCCCACTTGACTGTGAGCCCCAGGAGGGCAAGGCAGGGCTATCTCTGTCACCGCTGTGTCCCCGGCATCCCAGGGACAAGACCTGCCATACAGTTAGCCTTCTGTACGAGCCTGCTGAGTGAACAAATGTCTGGGCTAGACAGGCTGCTCCGAGCGCCTCTGCGGAGCCCAAACAGTGCCTGGCGAGGGTGCCTGTGGGAGGAGTGATGAAGTCTCCGGGAGGAGGAGTTAGAGCAAGACCTTGAGGGCCAGGGTGCTTTTGATGGATGGGACAGGAAACACTGTTCCAGGAAGGATGAGCTCAGCAAGCAAAGAGGTGGAGGCCCGAAAGGTCACGGGCTCTTGGGGGAAACCTGGGTTGCCTGATGCAGCTGAGCCAAGTGCGTGGGAGTTGGCCTTTGGCCTCCAGGCCGTGGGAGCCCTTGAACTTGGCAAACGGGACTGAACGCTCAGACAGATCCTTCCGGGACAGGACCTTGGCCGCTAGCAGAGAGGATACACGGGCAATAGGGTCAGGACGCCAAAAAGGAGAGAGTTCCCAAATCATCCCTGCGGGCCCGTGGATGGATGCAGGGGGAGCTGTCTGAAACCCCTGACCTGGAAGACAGCGAGGACACCCAGCGCTGACATCGTGGCCAGAGGCAGTGGGTGGGGTGAAAGGAGAGAGCCTGGGGAGTGAGAGCTGGTGGAAAACCAGCTTCAACACTTCATCCTCTCCTCCCTTAAACAGCATCTGAGCAGGGGGCCTGAGAATAGCACCCACCTCAGGCCAGGACGCTGTGGGTTCAGACGCCCAGCCCTGCGCGGGCCCTCAGTGAGTGCACAGAACAGACCCGGGTTCGGGGGCAGCACGGAGACAGGCAAGCGTCCCCTGGGCCAGGCAGGCCCCTGTCTGTCCTCCGAGCCTTCGCAGCCCCTCCACCCGCTCCACCACCACCCTCCAGGGGTCCCTTTGGGTGGATCCCCACTGAGTCTGGGCTGTGCTCAGTGACAAAGACCAGGCCCCGCCAGAAGCAGCTTCACCCGTTTTTTGGTTTTTGTACCAAGTCAACTTTATTCAACCAACACGCCAGTCCTACAAACTGTCCATTTTTTTTTCAGTATTACATGATTTTTTTAAAATTATCGTGATAAAATACCCACAACATAGAATTTATCACTTTAACTGTTTTAAAGTATACCATTCGGAGACATTTAGTACATTCACAATATTATGCAACCATCACTAGCTATAGTTCCAGAACAGTTCATCACCCCAAAAGGAAACCCCAAACTCGGTAAACAGTCACCTGGATTTGTTTTGAACTCTCCGAGACACTCCTTGTTCTTCTTTCATAGGATTAGAAATGTAGTGACTGAAGAAAAAAAGTCAAAACAATGGAGCAAAGCATTGCATTGTTGTCAAACCCCATTTGCCCAGGCAGCCAAAGATGACAATAGCAACGCCAAGCACGCCAGCGATGACAGTAATGTTTATGGCGGGCGCTATCCCATACCCTGTGGCAAATTGCTTTTCAGGAGGAATCATTTCACCCTCAGCACAACCCTGTAAGCGAAGTACTAGGTTACGGGTGCCCTTCTGCACAAAAGGAAGCCAGGGCTCGGAGAGGCAAAGCCACTGCCCGGCAGGTGAGCTGGGCTCCGAGATCAGCTCCCTCCGCAGGCTGTGCTTCCTTTTGCTGTGTGACCTGGGGACCGGTCATTGCCCGCTCTCGGCCTTGATTCCGGCCCCTGTAGAAAGGCTCCACCAGCACGGCCGGAGGGAGAGGGCGCACCTCCCGCGGAGGGGGACCGCAGCTGCTGTCCAAGGCTCTTGCCTTGCCTGCCCAGGGTTCCGATGTATTGGTTTCATGCAGGAGCGAGAAAGGGGAACTGGGGCTGTCTGGGGTTAGGGAGTGGGGACATGCCTTCCCATCAACCCTCCCACGGCCCTGAGCACACTTCCTTTAATGCCTTCCAGCTCCCGGCTCACTCCCCTTGGTTCTGGGCCTCTTGCAGGGCGGGCAGGGGATGGCAACAGAAGGGCGAGGAGGGGGACGCCTGGAAATCACGCAGCAGAGTCCGGGGTGGGGCAGAGGCTGGTCTGTGTCCCCAGCACCTGGCAGAGCCAGCGCCCACTATTTGTTGAATGAATAAATGAATGAAGTAATTAATTAAAGAAATCTTGGTGGGGGCTCCAAGGACAAGTGAGGTGAGGTGAAGCTGTGTCTAGAGGCAGCTATTTATTTGGGGACAGGCACAGGGCTTAGGTCTGGGTTCTTGGGCAGTCCCTGGGTTTGCGCCCCGACACCCGTGACCCCGCAGTCCAAGTCTTATTACCACCAAGCCACGCCCAGTTTCCTGGGCGCACGTGCAGCAGCACCAGCCACTGGGCAGCAGCTTCCCTTCCTCCCTCCTCTCCCGGGGCCAGAGCTCCTAAGGGTCATGGGGTTTCAGAAGTGAGGGCAGGCGGGGAGGCACTGGCTCCTGTGGAGCAGAGAGGGGGTGGCTCTCGCATTGGCCTGGGAGAGGGCAGACCCTTCCCCTGGGGTTTGGGCACCCTGAGTGGGTGGGCCTCAGCTCAGAAGCACTGGCCCTCACAGACCCGAGTGCACAGGAGCTCTGGGGACTCTCCCGCCTTCCAAATATTTAGACAGTGAGATGGATGGATGAGCGAGGGCCAAACCAGGCCCGCCGGGCAGTCGGTTATTTTGAGACGTTCCTGGGCCCAGCATAAACGCTCCCCTCACCCCCGCCCACCCCGCTCCCAGAGCCTGCAGCACTGGGAGGAGGCAGAATAGCAGCGGATCGCCCCCTGTGTGCAGGGGGTCATGGTTCTAGCAGCCCAGGGCTCCAGGGCTCATCGCTCGGCCTGTCCGCCTGCAGCCGTCGGCCTGGTCCCTGACTGTCTGGCTCTTGCACCCAGAGGATGGGGCCGGAGGCTGCGGGACAGCCTGAGGTGTCAGCAGGCTGCTGTGGACCCCACTTTGGACGGGGTTCCCACGGTGCTGCCGGGTGGCTGTGCCGGAGGCAGGCGGGACCCTGGCGCCTTGCCCCAGACTGACAGAGCCACCCAGCTCCCCTCCTTCCTCCCCGAGACGGGCTGGGAGAGGGGCATCTGCGAGCGGCCAGGTGCGGGCCTGGGGTAGAGGCAGCAGAGCCAGAGCCTGAGGCGCTGGAAGACAGCCTTGCGGAAAAGGATGAAGACCCAGGGGTCCAGGATGGGGTTGAAGGCATTGAAACGGAAGGCGAGCAGGTCCCCCATCTCACTGCTGTCCGGGGCGATGGCCTGAGTGAAGCTGCGGACCTGAGGGCAGGGGCAAGGGGTCAAGAATACCCACCTCCCCGCCCCGCCCCACCCTCATTCCCCTTCACCCACTTGCCCGCTGCAGGAATAGGGAGGGGTGGCCTGGCAGCAGGGGAAGGAAATAAGATAAGATAAAAACTAAGAAATGAACACGGGCAGAGAGAGAGAGAGAGAGAGAGAGCACCAAGGAAACAGCCAGCAGAGGCCTGGGGCGGGGCGGCGGGGGGGGATGGAATGAGGTGGGTGCGCCTGCGACTGTGTGTCTGCTGTCCCCAGCTTCCAGTCCCTGAGTCACCCATCACCCCCTAAAGTTTTGACGATTCTCACATTTGGCCCAGCCTTGATTTTACAGAAAGAGAAACTGAGGCCCAGAATACAGATGGACGACCGGGCGCCACAGTGCCAGGGTCTGCCCTGCTTCGATCCTGGACAGGCTGGGTGGGCTCACGGAGGACAGGGGTGGGGCCGGGAGGTCCACGGAGAACGGAGGGGGGAGCTGGTGCTGGGGTGGGGCGCTTGGATATCTGGGGGTGGGGGCACACACTCTGGGAGGCCACACACTCTGGAATCGAAGGGGCCTGGGGCCCAGACCCGACTCTGCGCCATCTTGGTCATGAGACATCACCCCTCATCTGTAAATACAGTGGCAAGACAGGAACTTCGTCCTGTTTCTTGGTAAATGCTTGTAGCATGGGTGCATAGGTCGTTTTGAAGAAGATCTGAAAAAGGGTCTGTAAGCCATAGAGCAAGTGCCCGATGAATAGTGGATCTTCTTATCATTAACGGGTAGGGGACAGGAGACCTGGGAGGGGCTGTTCCAGGGGTCAGGAGGAGTCCAAAGGAGCACAAGCGAACGGGGAGCAACCTCTCCAGAAAGTCAGGAGCTGTTGGACAGTTGCCAAAGCCTCCAGCCTCTTGAGTCTCACTTTCCCCTCCACGTGAGATGGACACAGACGGGGAGGACAGAGCCAGGCGCTGCCCCTCACCCCCCCGCCCCCCACCACGCACCGGGCCGCAGAGGGGACTCACCGTGAGAGGCAGGGAGCACACGGCCATGATGCCGGTCATGAGGGCCAGCAGGATCAGGTAGTCGACCTCATCCTCGCCCGCCCGGTGCCTGTGCTGGCGGTACATGCGGCAGAGGCTGACGGTGACGGAGCCGTTGCAGAGGATGATGGCAGCCACCAGCAGGGCCATGAGGCTGGCGTAGGCCAGGGAGAAGGCGCAGCCGTGCAGCTCAGCGGAGCGCAGGCGGATGAAGCACCAGCTTCCCGGGCAGTACTGCTGGTGCTGGCCCAGGCCCAGCAGGGGCAACGAGCAGAAGAGGGTGCAGAAGGCGTAGGTGGCGGGCAGCACCAGGCGGGCGCAGCGCGGCCCGTCCAGCTGGGTGTAGAGGTAGGGGCGGGTGAGCGCCAGGCAGCGCTCCACGGCCATGGCGAAGAGGATGAGCGTGGAGGCCAGGCCAAAGAAGGTCATGGCGAAGGCGAAGGCGTCACACAGCACCGGGTGGCCCCGGGCCAGGCCCAGGAGCGAACTGTTTCGGGCATAGGCCACGAACACCACGGGGCTCAGGAAACACGTGCCCAGCAGGTCGGTGACCGCCAGCCCAGTGACCAGCACTGCGAAGGCGGACGGGCGTGACCGCCGCCGGGCCCCCAGGATGCCCAGTGCCAGCCCGTTGCCCACCACACCGGCCACGAACATCAGGGTGCTGGTGGCCGGGCCCACCGAGTCCCGCACGTATGTGAGGTTCCTGCAGGAGTCTGCCATCCTGGCCGGCGCCCACCAGCCTGCACGGGAGGGGCCCCACGGGTGGAAGGGAGCGGCAGGGAGAAGGAGCCGGTGCAGCCTCTCAGAAACCCACTGCCAGCAAGGTCCCCATGGTCCTCACCACAGCCGGTGTCTGTCTCCCCTATTATCCTTGTGTGTCCAGCTATCTGTCTATGCCTCTCACTCTCTCCTATTTCTTTCCTTCTCTATCTGTTTCCTCTTTTCCTCCCCTCTTCCTAGTTTTTTCCACTTGTCTCCGTTGTCCCTGTCTGTCCACTCCCTTGCCCAGCCCCTCTGCCTCTCCCTCTTCCTCTGCCCCGCCCCCACAGCCCTCTATCCTCCCCTCTGCCTTTCAGCTTTGCTGCAGGCCCTCCTCACCGGCCCTCCTCACCGCTCCGCTGTCATCCCACGCCATGCCATCGCTCGCCTGTCCCCTCGCTTGGGTCTGGACTCGCCGTCTGTGAGGTCTCTGTGTGTCAGCATCTCCCTACTTCCCTCCCTCCTCCCTCCCTCCTCATCTTGTCTGCTCGCCCCAGCTTTTTCATTTCCTCTCTCTCTGCCCCGCCTTCCCTCCCCCTGCTTTCTCCAGAGGCCCCCTTGGCTCCCTCCTGCCTTCCCTGGCACACTCCCTCTGTGCCCCTGCCCAGAGCATCTGTCCCCCGCCCTGCTCCCCGCCTGTGTCCTCTCACGGTCCCCATCACTGGGCCACCTGCCGCCTCCCCAACACACAGGTCTGCCCTTGGCCCCTCACAGCATGTCCCGGTGGCCCCCAGGTGGGGGTCACTGAGTCACCACACATGGAATTTGGAGCTCACCAGTGGGCACCAGTGGGGACAGGCCCTGAGGAGTGCCGCTGACCAGTCCGCAGGCTGGCGGTGGCTGCCTCGATCTATTCTGGGCTCCAGGCTCCGGGGTTAGGACACAGCCCAGGGATTGAGAAATAACCGGGAAATTCCTCCCCGATGCAGTGTTTTCCAAGCACCGCTGAGATTTCTGTTCCCTGGACACAATTCACTCCTTCCAGAAGGCGGGGCAGCGAGGAGGATGGGCCAGAGAAAAGAATGCCCATCCCCGGAGCCCGTCCCCAGGGCCCCTCACATGCTCACCCCGCGGTGGCCCGGGACGGGGAGAGAGCCCTCCTGCCTCTTGCTTCTCACCTCAGCTCCCCCAGGCTCCAGGCCAGGCTCTGATGACCTTGACCTCCAGGAATCATATCTGAGCCTCAGACAGCTGCCCAGGGCTCCAACATCACTGTCATATTGATTTCTCCCGCCCCTCCGCAGACACGCCCCGGCTGCTGCCCCCCAGGGCCAGTGCGGTCCGCCCGTGGGTCCCAGCTGCCAGCGCAGCAGCCACCTGTCCTGTTCCCCCTGAGCCGACAGTTCCCACGCTGCCTCCCCACCCACAAGGGCCTTGCGGGACCTGGGAGACCCTCTCAGACACCCCTTATCTTTCAGGGAGGCAGTTTCAGTGTAGAAATTGCAAACTCAGGCTCTCGCTCCTTCTGTCTCGAGTTTCTGTCTCAGTTCAGCCACACCCTTGCTCTAGGACAGTCTCGGGGGAGGATGGAAGCCGGTGTACCTCAGTTTCCTCATCTGTACAGGGGGGTAACAGCGGCTTCCCGGGCCTGGCGGCTGACCCGGCCAGTGGCCCGCCCCAGCGCCTGTGTGGTGAGCAGGGAGCCTGCGCAGATGTGCCACATCCAAGACGAGGAGCGACGCTCCTGACTCCAAGGGCCGCAGACTTCCCCTCTCTGCCCCCATGTCCCCCGTAACCGCAGCACCCTCACCCAGCTCCCTATCACCACAGCCAGCTGGCACACCCAGCTTCCAGCAGGATGGACGCCCCAGCTCCAGCCACACCGGCACCCCCGAGGATGACCTCACGGCCCTGCCCTCGGGCTGCGCGGGGTGCGGCCGCGGCCCTCCCAGCCACAGGGCCCCTCCCCACTTGCGCCCCGCAGCCACCAGGCAGGCCGGAGGGAACTCGGGAAGTTATATCACATTAATGAAGGACGACGCCTGGCAGGCTGGCATCCTGTCCCCGCATCTGGGAGCTGCAGCGTGGGGGGGCTCTGGCTCCCGGGGCTGCCTCCTCCGCTGGCTTCCTGTCCTCACCAGGGACCACAGAGTACTCAGGAAGTCCACTCTGCTCCCGTGCCCAGTGGCACCTTGGACAAGCCTCTGCTCTCCCCTAGGTCTCAGTTTCCCCATCTGTGCCAACAGGGGCCCCTGAGCCCTTGCAACCCTGGCATCGGTTCTGTGCTTGGGGAGCAGGTGTGGGGGTGACTGTAACTCACTCCCAGTGAGAAGACTAAGGGTCCCCGGGGCCTGTGCCAGTGCTGGACACAGCAGCTTCTGGCGACCCGGAGCCCCATGCCCAGCTGCGGCCCCAGCCAGGCCCACAGCAGGGACCACAAGGTTCCTCTTTCACCCAGGTGCCTTGGGGTGGGAGGTCACCCTGCTTGCCAAGGAGGGGGTTGAGGAGGGGGTAGTTTCCGGAGCAGAGGGCGGGGGACCGAGGGAAGGAACCACTCGCGGTAGGTGAGTCAGCGGCTCTCCGCACCCTTCACCCACTGCGAAAGGCGGGGGCCTCCCTCAGAGGGAGCCGGGGCCGTGCGTGGGGCAGCAGGAGGGCAGCAGGGGCAACTGGCCTTGGACACACAGGATGGGGCGGCGGGGGAGGCGCGTGCGGGGGCCGGTGTGCCGGGCAGCGGCTGTGGATACGTACTGCGAATGGCACGTGTGGGTGGGCCTGTCTGTGCATCTCTCTGTGTTTCTGTGTCTTCCCTGGGGGCTCACGTGTTTCTCTGTGGCGGGTGTGTGTGTGTGTGTGTGTGTGTGTGTGTGTGTTCGTAGGGGCCGCGTGGTGCAGGGGAAAGGGTGGGTTTGGGAACTCACATCCGCCACTCACCAACCACTGTGTGAGGCCGGAGAACGACTTCCCCTGGCTGAGCCTTGATGTCTTCATCCAATGGCTGCCTTGCCCTTGTTGGGTGTTGCTTGACGATTAGAGACAGACTTCGCCCTCCCTGCCTCCAGGAAGGCCGCCAAGAGCCGCTGGTGTTATTATTCTCTCCACAAGCCCTAACCTGCTGACTGCGTGCCAGGGCCGGGGGGCCAACGGGCTCAGAGGGCACCCTCTGAGGGCGGCAGGTTCCCACACGGCCTGTGACGAGTGACGGGAGAAGGTTAGAGCTGGAGCCCAGGCTGGCAGACCCTCAGCTGCGTCACTCCACGCCCAGCTGGGACACACATCTGGCTGGGTGTCTTTGGGAGGACAAGTGCCAAGCAGGCCCTGAAACGGGCCACAACAGGCCTCTCCCACGCCTGCTGGCCAGCGCCGCCAGCCGCCTACCCGGGCTTGCGTCTGGATGTGCGGCTGCTCCCGGCTCCCCCTGCCGGTCCGACCTGCTCCGGACTCCCTGGTTGTCCAGCTCCGCCTGCCTGTTCTCTCTGCTGTGAGAAGCTACCGTGTGTCCATCCTGACCTGTCCCTCCGTGGCAGGTCCCTGCACCTACAGCCAGAGGCTTTTTTCTCAGCCCACCACCCTCTTTGTCACCCCAAATGGGTCCTCGCATATATCTCTGCTTCTTGCCTCTGCTCTGAGGGCCACTGCTCTGTGTCCCTGCCTTGTCTTCGCCTGTCACCTGTGATACCCTTGCTCTGTCCTTCAGGCTCCCCCCACAACGCCTCCAGCCCCTCTGGGGCCTACCCATCGGTCCCACTCGAACCTCAAGCCCCAAATGGCCAGGTGACGTCACCTCCCTGTGCCTGTTTGCCGCGTCTGTAAAATGACGAAGAATAGAGTCCCTGTGGGAGCTATCAGAGAATGGAGTGAGCTGGGGCATTGAAACAGGACTCCCAGGAAGCGGTGGCCACGACTGCGGCTCCTCTGGCTCTGGGCTCCTGCTCCCTGAACCCATCAGCACTGCCTGGAGCACGCGGGGTGTAGGGGTGTGTGGCGGGAGGAGCGCAGCCTGGACAGAGCAGCCAGTAGCCCTCGGGCTTGGGAGTGAGGCGGGGGAGTATTTCTGAGAGCGAGTACTTCCCCAAGTGTTCACCTCTCTGCCCCTTGGCCAGGCACGGCCCCCCAGACCTGACCTCACAGCTGGAGATGGCAGGGAAAAGCAGCCGGTGACCAGAGCTGGCGTTGAAGCATCATACCCAGAAAACCTTGTTACAGGTAACAGCAAGGTTATTGGGGTGTGCGGGGCGGCTGGTCACCGGGAAGCCACCCCGTCTCTCTGGCTTCTCCTCTCTCTCGGCCTCAGTCCTGACCAGCGTCTCAGCCCAGGCTCACCCTTCCTCCCGTCCTCCCGCCCCCTCCTGCTCCAGGCAGACACGCCCCCTTCCGCACCCCAGGTCAGCCAGTCCCGCCTGCTTCTTCTCAGCTTCCCTTTCCCTAGACCAGGAATTCAGAGGAAGCTTCAAGATCCCAGGGCTGAGAAGGTTAAACCCCAACAGTCTAGGTTCAAGAAATCCTTACACTCCTGACGTGCCAGGCAAGGGGGCAGGACCCCAGAACACTGACCCCACCAGATTGAACGACTCCAGATGCCAGCCTTCCGGAGCCCTGGAATTCTAGATTCCCTTGCATTTCAGCTTCCAAGATGCAAGGAGGCCAGACCTGAGAAGTTACGGGATCCTCTGGTACCTTACCCCCCACCCCCAGCTCCTCCTTGGCTCTCTCTGTCCCCTGTCTCTCCTGGTAGGGTGATTGGTGACAGGGCCTGGGAAAGAATTCACAAAGAAAAATAAGTACAGACAGTAAAGTTTTTATTTACTCTCTAAGAAAGGAGAGGGGCATGATGTGGAAAGATACACCAGCGCTGGGGGGCTTTAACCTTTTATTGGACTATAATTGGATTAAAAAAAGCGTGGGGGTGCTGTTGTGTGTTCCCTGGGCTTTTGGGGTGTGGTAACCAGGGGCTGCAGTTTGTTCCAAAGTTATCTTCTGCCTGTGGCTGTAGGGAGAGGTTAGTCACATTCTGGCCTTGC